GGAGCTCTACAACTCTCTCGGTGCATTACATTTTGGCTAGATGGGGCGACAGCCGGGGCCTTGATCGCTTCCCCATCCGGTTCATTTTCGCAAAGTAGTTCGCCGTAGTAGCAGCCCTATTGTACTGAAGGCACCTTTTGTTTTGAAAGATGCGCATCGACCATTGGCCTTGGGTTTGGCGGGCACTATCGGTATCTTTGCTACTTCATGTAGTGACAAGACATGCCCCGCTTTGAATCAAAGTCTCTGTTGCTCACTACTTTATGTCCATCCTTGTGTTTGATAAATCGGGGACCTCTTCTTTGTCCTTATGGCTCAACATAACTGTCAAATTCTTAACTGGAATGTTAGGGGCCTCAACAACGGCGCACGACAAGATGTTTGTGAACTGGTCAGAAGTACAGGTGCCACTATTGTGTGTTTACAGGAAACTAAGATGTAGCTCCTTGATCAAAATGTGGTGATCCGCACAATGGGAGCAAAATTTGTAAACTCCTTTCTTTGTGCTTTAATTTGAATAGACCCGGGAGGCATACTTCTAGCTGTAAATGAAGACTTTTTGACCTCTCCAACATCGAGCTTAAAGCCAAATATGATAAGCTGCGACGATCACCATGAGGCGGATGGGATACAATGGAAAATCACAGTTGTTCACGGTCCGCAAGGATGCAGCCAAGCTTCAGTTCCTTTAGGACACGAAAAGCATTCCACCCCGATGCACAATAGATGGCTCATCCTAGGGGACTTCAATCTCATTTACCAGAGCAAGATAAAATAACTCAAATCTTAACCGGCGTCTTATGGGCGCTTTTTAAAGGCAGCGATTGATCATCTGCGTCTCAAAGAGATCGTTTGAATGGACGCGCCGTTTCACATGGAGCAATCAGCAGGACAGTCCTACACTCACTAGAATTGACAGGCTCCTATGCACCCCTAAATGGGAATTGATCTTTCCTGCCTGTTTCTTGCATTCGTTGCCATCACTTATGTCCGATCACACCCCTTTGCTTCTACAAGGAGAGCTTGATTACCATCACAACACGTCCTTCCAGTTTGAAAACTTCTGGATGGAGATGGAAGGCTTTCAAGACCTCATCCAAACCATTTGGAATAGGCCAGTCACCTCGGTTCTCCCCATGAAGCGGTCGCACATCAAGTTGGTGCGGGTTGCAAAAGGAATCAAGCGTTGGAAAAAGGAAAAAATTGGCGACACAAAACTGCAACTAGCTATAGTAAAGGAAATCTTGCTACAAATAGAGGCAGCGCAAGAGCAAAGGATGCTCGCTAATATGGAGCTCGATCTACACCGCCGACTCAAAGCTCGCAGCATGGGGCTTGCGGCCATTGAAAAAACTAGAATCCGGCAAAGATCAAGGCTCACCTACATCTGATGCGGAGATGCCAACACAAAGTTTTTCCACATTAGAGCTGGTGCGCAGCGGAGAAAGAATTGCATACATTGTCTGCATACAGACGAGGTGATTGCGATTGGTCATGAAGAAAAACAAAAAGTTATAGGGGACTATTTCAAAAACCACATTGGCTCCGCAACTCCAAGATCGACGACCATCAATTGGCAATCCCTAGGCTATATCCCGCATGACCTCTCGGACCTTGAAGCACCTTTCTCCCATGAAGAGGTTCATAATACAATAAATGCCAAGCCCTCTGACAAAGCGCTAGGTCCGGACGGTTTCACATGTGCCTTCTTTAAAGCATGCTGGGGAATTATTAAAGACGATGTTATGACTGCCATAAACAACCTATTCACAATGAACGCCTAGGGATTTGAGTGGCTCAACACGGCGTGCATCGTCCTGCTGCCCAAAAAAACGGACGCAATGCGGATCACCGATTTTAGGCCAATTAGCCTCATCCACAGCATTGCGAAGATCTTCTCCAAATTGCTAGCTAACAGGCTGGCCCTCGGCTGAACTCCCTAGTCTCCAATTGCTAGAGCGCATTCATAAAAAAGAGAAGCATCCATGACAATTTCCTTTATATTCAAGGAGCAGTGCGAAAGCTACACAGGCAAAAGATACCGGCATTATTCATGAAATTGGACATCCACAAAGCTTTCGACACGGTGAATTGGGGGTACTTGCTAGAGGTCCTATAGGCGCTGGGCTTCGGGCCACGCTGGCGTGAATAGGTTTCTATCCTATTCCGCACGTCCTCCTCGTCTGTGCTGCTCAATGGGCGACATGGTCCCAGCTTCAGCCATGCCAGAGGAGTCCGACAGGGAGATCCACTTTCACCCATGCTCTTCATTCTGGCCATGGACCCGCTACAGCGCTTACTTGATCAGGCAACCCAACACGGGATACTCACCCCCTTACCCCTTACGGCGGCAAAATGGAGGACCTCCATGTATGCAGATGATGCGGCTATTTTCATCAACCCAAAATTAGAGGATGTAGAAGCTCTCAAAATTATCCTCCAAGCCTTCGGCAGCTTCTCAGGACTACACATCAATTTAGAAAAAAGCTCCGTGCATCCAATCCGGTGTGAAAATATAGACCTTGACCATGTCCTGTCACCCTTTACCGGTACCAGGGGCGCCTTCCCCTGCAAGTATCTGGGGCTGCAACTCCACACCAGATCACTTAAGAAAGTCCATGTTCAACCTCTCATTGAGCGAATTCAGCAAAGGTTGCCCAAATGGAAAGGGCGATGGTTGAACAAAGCGGGACGCCTTACACTAGTCACTTCGGTCCTCTCCTCCATGCCAACCTACCACCTCACGGTGTTTCCCTTGGCAGCATGGGCTAGAAGGAAGATTGATAAAATTAGGAGATCGTTCCTTTGGAAGGGGGAAGACAACGCAAATGGCAGACACTGCTTGGTCATCTGGCCAACAGTTACCAGACCCAAAGACCTAGGAGGTCTGGGGGTACCGGACCTTGACACATTTGGAAGAGCTCTCCGGTTACGCTGGCTGTGGCAAGAATGGGTGGAGGATTCCAAGCCATGGCTAGGCTCTGAACTCCCATGTAGTGATGTGGATCGCCTCCTTTTCAACGCTTCGATCAAAATTTCTTTGGGTGATGGCGCAAAGACTTTCAGCCTCAGGGGGACCCCGTCGAGATCAGAGCATGGTGGGAAGAAGCAGCAAAAAAAAGTGCCAACCACCGAACGAAGACGGCTCAATGGGGTAATGATCTACATATTTTGGAATATTTGGAAAGAGAGAAATAGGAGAATTTTAACAATACCGCAGAGACGGTGCCACAAGTGGCCGCAAGAATCAAGGAGGGCATAGAGCAAAGAAAGAGGGCTTTCGCTTACACTTAGCAATCTCCCTTCTCTAACCGCAAGGAATGTGTTTTCGTGGTGTTTTCATGCACACCTGGGATCCTTAATACCCTTTTCGGAGTGTCTTCCTCCTTGTACATAAACCCTCTTTCTCTATCTTAATTTAAAGGCAGAGCTCCTGCCATTGCGTTTCATCCTCTGCCTACATCCTTTGTCGCAATCACAGCCTGTCACATATTTCAATAAAGGTACAGCTTCAGAAAACCAGAAACAGCATATTACTCACGCTTGAGATGTGTTCCTTTAGATATGTTACTACAGTGCAGTGCTTAAGTGCAACATGATAAACTCTTCAACCAGCACAAAGCATGGCAAAAGCATAAATAGAAGTGAAACATGATATTGTTGTTGCCTCTAATGATTATATTATACTGCTGCTTCTTATCAGAATCTCTCACAAGCACCAAACAAATCTCAGATGCAACAAATCATTCAAGAATACTAAGGCCATCGAAATAACAATAACGTGCAAGCCCCATATTACAAGTTTCAATGTTGATATCTCCCAGTCCAGCTACGTTACTAAGCTAATTATGCCCAACAGAGTTTTGGCCAAGCGCTATTTAATTTCACTATTGTATCATTTCCTATAATTTTTTTGTTGCAGTTACCCATTTTCCTTGAAAATGACCTGATGGGAAACACACTGGTCTCCACATTATCATGAAAGAGATCAATCATAATTGAAATGTTGTGGCATTGCAGTAGGCGATCTGTATTTGGTGCAATTAAAAAAACAGATTTCTCAACTTGGGAATTTTGAAATTTATTAGACCATTTTAAAAACTTAAAAAAAAAATCAAACAGGGAAACGGCAGAATTCTTATAGCTTTTGTTCTTCTGCTGCCACAATATTAGCCAACACCCTCACTCTAACCCGAAACAAGACCAAGCACTGTCCTCGCAAGATTATGCATCCACCAAAAAGGAAGAGAAAGATAGATGTTAGCCATAATGATGGAACTGAAGCAAAGAGCCAAAGACATTTTGTTTATAACTTAACAAATACTTTTAGATTTCTTCACAGGGCAATAAGTTCTAGGACAATACCCTGGCATAAAATAGTTTGCGTGAACATGTAAATGTACAAAACAGAAAAATATGTAGAGACCATTAGAAGAGACTAGAGATAGGAAGTTGAGAACAGCTTTGCCTTTTCTAACAAAGAGATATTAGTGTGCCTTACATAATGCACCAGCCCATAACAATGGACAACTAGCAATCAAATATAAGTACATAACTTGATAACAAACTAGTCATGCAAGTGACTTATCTGACTACTTCCTTGCATAGCTGCATCAGTACCTCACGATACTATTTGTGTGAACATCTTATGTACTTAGATATCACAATAAGACACTTTGCAGAACAAGAAGTGGACCTTGATGCTCCAAAACAGTAATACTTATTATCTTTACCTTTTCCTTTACAGCGTGCAGATTATCTGATTCCATAGTTGCCTTGTTTGGATTTATAAGCCCTATTCTCCACGAAAAATGAAATGAGAGGTTAGGGCTCTTTTTTGTTAAATGTAAAAAGAATTACTTGAGCCTGGCACACATTTGCTACATGACTCTGTGTCTGACATTTTGCAGTCATAAGGCCGGCTTCAAGAATAAAATAAAATAAATCAGCAAAATAAACATGTGTTCGCATAGAATTTTTTTTGTGAAGCAATATAAAGACTAGTACAGGTCTATAGTGTCCATGATTTCTCCATTAGGGTTAAACCCATATTCCTTGAGGATAGATGAAACATGTTCCAAGACCTCCACACGGGGCACCTGCATGACATACAAGCTGATGTATAAGGTAGAATAAAAATAAACAGAAAAGACAATATATCATCAACATAGGTCTACTGTATATACAATTAGCAAACATATAACCAATTGTAGCAGAGAGATGATAGGAAGAATTGTTTCAACGAGAAGTTTGCAATTATACAATATGGGTTGGAAGACTGTGTACAAAAACAGCTAAACATACAATCACATACAACTCGGATACATCTAGATTGATAATCAAATCTCTTAGTTTCCACGAGTTTTGTAACTAGAGATTATAATCTAGACACTTCAAAGGTACAAGTCCAAGTCATGAATGGCTTTGCACTTCTGTATTTTAAACTAAACTTTGCAGTGATTCATTTACTCAAGCTCCTAGCTATTATAAATCCATTCGAATATAAAGTGCATGGAACAAGCATTAAAATCACCAATTGTTCTGTTCTGGTTTATCAAAGAGAAAGCTGTTGATTTCTTCAGGCTATACGATAGAAAATGAAGATCAGACAAAATGTTCATCATGAATTGCATACGTACGGGCCCACAAACAAATTATGGTGAGCTCTCACTCCTAGGATCTAGAGTTTGCAGTCTAAGGCCTTGTTTGAATGTTGTAGTATTAAGAAACCATAGTATCAAGAAACTGTAGTGTTAGAACCATTGATGTGCAAAATCGTGGTTTAGAAAAAAGAGGTCTAGAGTGGAGCTTTTAAAACTCCAAAAAGACTACAGTTTCAGCAATACCATGGTATTCAAAATCATAAAGTTTGTTGCATCCAAACACTTCATGACACTCTAAAACCAAAGTATTTCACAAAACCATGATATTTTTCTAAAACTCCAAAAATACTTTGTATCCAAACATGGCCTAAGGGTGTGTTTGGATACCTGAGAATAGGTACCAAACTAGATTTCCAGCCTATGAAGCAGAACCGGAATGATTTCACGTTTTCCATGTTAGCACTCGAGACGGCCAGGACCTGGTTTCGCACGTTTCCGATTCTCAGCATGTGTACTTCTGTGTGTCTGCCAAGAATGAAGCGCAACAAGTTAAAATGGCGTGTACTTAAGTTGTTCTTGCCCCACAAGAAGTTCTAAATTTTTTTGAATCGTATCTCCATTTATAACCTTTTATGAAAAAAGAATCATTTTTTAAAAACTCCAACAATGTTGTGACTAGTGTTCGAACAAGTGATGGAGACACGGATGACTTCCCGATTAGAATAGGACTACATCAAGGGTCAGCTTTGAGCCCTTATCTGTTTGTCTTAGTGATGGATGAGGTCACAAGGGACATACAAGGGGACATCCCTTGGTGTAGGCTTTTCGCGGACGATGTAGTGCTAGTTGATAAAAGCCGGACAGGAGTGAATCAGAAACTGGAGTTATGGCGGGAGACTTTGGAGTCCAAAGGTTTTAGACTCAGTAGAACTAAAACTGAGTATATGAGATGTGCCTTTGGCACTACTAATCGAGAGGAGGAAGATATTAGTTTGGAAGGTCAAGTAGTGCCTAGGAAGGATACCTTTCGATATTTAGGATCAATGCTACAGAGAAACGGGGATATTGATGAAGATGTTAGCCATAGAATTAAAACAGGGTGGATGAAGTGGCGCCAAGCATCTGGTGTCCTATGTGACAAAAGGGTACCACAGAAGTTAAAAGGCAAGTTTTATAGGACGGCGATTAGACCTGCTATGTTGTATGGTGCAGAATGTTGGCCTACGAAAAGACGACATGTTCAACAGATAAGTGTCGCGGAAATGCGTATGTTGCGTTGGATTTGCGGTCATACAAGAAGGGATCGAGTTCGGAACGATGATATACGTGATAGATTAGGGGTAGCACCAATTGAAGAAAAGCTTGTCCAACACCGGTTGAGATGGTTTGGACATGTTCAACGGAGACCTCCAGAGGCACCGGTGCGTAGTGGAATCCTAAGCCAAGATAGTAACGTGAAGAGAGGCAGAGGAAGACCGAAATTGACTTGGGTAAAGGCAATGAAAAGAGACTTGAAAGGATGGAACATACCCAAAGACTTAGCCTTAGATAGGAGTGCTTGGAAAACAGCTATTCACGTACCTGAACCTTGATTGCTTCTGTTGGGTTTCAACTCTAGCCTACCCCAACTTGTTTGGGACTTAAAGGTTTTGTTGTTGTTGTTGTTTTTGTTGATGAAAAAAGAATCATTTTTTGTGAGTCAATCCAGCCTGCCAAACAAGCAGTCTCATGAAGTGATTCTGATTCATCGTAGAAATGTTACCTGAGAGAATCTGAATCAAATGTTTCTACGAGAATCTGGCAAACACACCCCAAAAAGAATACATTAAGCGTATATTTTCAGTCTAACATCAACAAGAAGGCTCACGTCAGCGTCCTTGATATACACTCAGCTCCAGCACCAAGAATTCTTGTAGCTAGAGTCCCACCAAACAGCTGCACCAGCTGACCATGAAAACAAAACATGCAAATGCTCATTTTTGCCAATTTATCTGACATGCGTTCAGAAAATGAACAAAGAAAAATGACACAAGCATATGTTTTCTCCATTCATGCTGTGGCGTGTTGTGGGGTCTGGAGGCCTGCGGAGTCCGCCATGTCCAAACCTGTCCTGCGGCCGCGTCAAGGAATGAAGGAAGTCCATGCCAGTGGCAGTGCAGATGCAGTAGCTGCAGGTGGTGTTGTGAAACTGAAAGTTGCGGGTGTGGCAGGCGGTGCAGACTGAGGAGGGCACCCGCTTCGGTGGAGCGGACATCAAGGCCAGAGATTGAACAGACTCGTGCTTCACCCTGGATGACGCTGATAATGGTGGCAGCAGTGACGAGTCCCGAGACTTCATCAGATCGCCGAGCTTGAGGACGGTCTCATAGATACGATCACCCATGGAAAGCAGTGGTTGTTGGCTGGTGGTAGTTGCAGGAATGGCCAAGCGGAAGGGCGATATGAAAGCAATCTGGCACAGGACCGACGATCAAGGTCTCTGATGCCAAAGATGATGTGGTACATTGATTGGGCACTTGATACATAAACAGCAGATAGATCAGTTGACTCACCCTTCCTGTGGAGGCTCTGAGCTGCTTCTTGGATCTATTTCTGCTTGCCTTCTCTAGCTACCTATGGATACCTTTATAGACCAGGCACCCAACAAGCCTACTAACGAATCTTATCCAAGTAACTAATGAATCTTATCGGCTAACGAACATGAACAAACGAACAAACTGTGTGAACTAATCCCAGGCTGCTGATGCAGCACGTCCAGGGCCAGAACCAGCCCACTTGCCATAACACCACGACACTTTTGGGGAAGCATAATCTTATGACATTTTTAATGTGAGGTTGAAACTCAAAGCTAAACAGAAGATATGCTATAATGCTAATCTATGCAGCTAGATTCTGATAGGCTGCAAAACAACTGGTGATCTTGTGAAAGTGTTAGTTTTTACAAAGTTCATTTCTGTATAGATTTGTTTGAAATAATGAACTCTTATTACAAAGTTGTCAAATAAAACATATACTATTCTTTTCAGTCGACGTAAGAATTATTAGCATTGTTCTTGCTAAAATTAGGGCATGTGTTTTTTTTTAAACAAGACAAATAGCAACAGTAAAATACAAATATTAAAATATTAAGCAACAGTCATCAGAGGATTTGAGGAACCATGGCTACTATATATAACCAAAAATGTGTACCTCTGAATGTGCCTGAATATATGAAGAAAGACGTTGACCATGATGGGAAATTACATCAACAAGCAACCCTGTGCAATCAATAAGTGATCTTCTTTCCTTCAGAAGCTTCTCTGCCATTTCATTTGAACCTTTCTCCCATCCCAAGGCAAATGAAAGCCACAGTATACGCTTATTCATAATGTCAAACCCATCTTTTTTACTCCTACCATTCATCTTGGAGGAACAACCTCCACGAATCTGCTCCTGAGCAGCCAGTAGTAGAATCCCAGACTGGATAAGCTTTCCATTCTCAATGTAGTTCCAGAGCTCTTCAAGTAGATTATTTGTTCTTTTAGCAAGCAATCTAGTTGTATCCAAGAAGATCTTCTGTAAAACACCAAGGAACAAAAATCTAAGTATCGATCATTTAGCATTTGTATGCAACCAAGTAGTGTTGAATAACTTTAAATATATCAATTCATTTCCTCCTACAAAAGTAAATATGATTTTGGGACATTCTCCAAGGCAAGGGAAATAAAATTAGTTACTAGTAACAGTTTTTGAATATTTTATTGAAGAGTCGTTGTCTTTTACTATAAGAACATGCCCTAACAAATTTTACTTTCTCTGACAAATGGAGAGAGAGCATGCTCAGTCCTTAGTATCACTAATCCGTTATAACAGCTGTTTGGGATGTATGTCATGACCACAATTACTTTTTATGTCATGCGGAACAAGAAGAACTTCATACAGGGAAGGGAAGAGAAACAAACCATTTCAGGTAGACACAGCAGATGGATAAGCTTGTAGATATATTCCAGATGACTCTGGCTGGGAGAAAGATTGTCCTCCAGATACTTATGCATGCAAGTATTCTCAATTGCAACATGGAGAGGAAGTAGGTTCTCAATGTCATCATTTCCAACTGTGCGTACATTGGCTGATGTGCCATGGCGCAAAAGCAACTTGATCATGTCACAAGAGAACCTTTCAGCAGCTTCATGGAGCGGGAAGTATCCATATGGGTTTATGCAGTTGGGATTGGCGTGCATTCCATAGAGCTCAGGTGCCTTGCCCTCCAATACGACTTTTGCACATCGCAGAGCATTAAAACAGACCATGAGGTTTAAGGTTCGTGCGGTGACGGTAAAACTCCATGACATGCACCTGCCTCCACAGTTTTTGAATAATCGGAGGAAGCACTGGACACTGTCCTTTTTAAGGATGGGCTTTGAAGAGAGGCAGAGGAAGACCGAAGTTGACTTGGGTAGAGACAATAAAAGGAGACTTGAAAGGATAGAATATACCCAAAGACTTAGTCTTAGATAGGAGTGCTTGGAAAACAGCTATTCACGTGCCTGAACCTTGATTGCTTCCGCTGGGTTTCAACTCTAGCCTACCCCAACTTATTTGGGACTTAAAGGCTTTGTTGTTGTTGTGTTGTTGTTGCTTCAGCTCGTCAAATTTGTCAAAGAGGGTATTATTCACCCACTATATAGATGGATGCATCACAGTTGAAAAAGTTGAAAGGCATCAGCTATCCATCTATAACAAAGCAACATCAAGATAAAGTCTATATGACAATAACAATAGCAGCAATGACAAAACCATGTAACCCAACATGCGACAAGAAGGGAAGAGAGAGAATATAAGGGGATCTAAAGCCTATTATGGTTCAGGCATGTGATCAACATGTTTTTTTAATGCACGGGGGAGTTTCCCGGATACTCTTAAGAAGAGGTGAGGCACCCGCGTGATCCTGCGCTCGAACACGGGCGGGCAGCCTGAGCACCTACTCAGCTGGCCAGCTCGGTTGGCAAGGTTCATATATGACAACAATATCCAGTGGACTTTAAGTACCCTATAATATTACATGATTAAATGAAACAATTAATATAATGGAATGAACCATCAATCAAATTCTGTAATGAAGGTAACAGAAACCTGAGGAGCAGGGTCTGGGATGATTATGTCATTTGCTCTGGACTTGGCTATAGAAATAGACCTTTCTAGCATGAACTGAAAGAGAATGCCAAGAGTCAGCACTAAGGGAAGAAAATAGAAAGGGGGTTAAATATCACACAGATAGATAGTTATCACACCTCATCTATCTTGTCCCTATCCTATCCCTCGTTAACTTCAAAATAATGGACAGGATGCTGCGGATACCTACTTCTTATTGGGATTGATCCATCTTTACTATTAACATTATCTTTGTTGCAGGAAGCTTCCTCTTTCAAGAGAATGTATACTATTAACATTATCTTTGTTGCAGGAAGCTTCCTCTTTCAAGAGAATGTAGCCAGGTGCCTTAAATTTCAACTCCATCCTTTCGTGTTTTCTGAAAGAAAAGGTATAATCTCGAATTACGATTCAAACACTATTATATTACTGCAAAAGGCTTGCGACAGTCGAACATTGATCCAGAAGACCATGAGATAAATTGAGTCCTTATATATGCCTAAAATCAGGGGGCAAACGCAGCCCGATCGTAAAGGACATGGGTGCACGCATGTACACCCAATTATTTTTTGCAAGAAAATCAAAGGCATAATACATGCAGAGACTTGTAATGAGATCAGATCCAAATATAAATACCCAAATAGCTCGAGTTAGGGTTCGGGGTGCGCGGTTTCGCACAGCAGCAAGGGAAGAGCGACTGAGCGAGCAGGGGTGCGCACACCTGGTGGGTGATCGTCGCCGGCGAAGGGATCCACGAGGCTAGCTAGACCTCGGCACCTGCTCTGTCTCTGCCTCCGTGGCGTGGCAGTACGTGTTCTCATAATTAATCTATAATCTATACTAATAATAAATTGACAAAATTTCTATTCATCTTTTTTTTTTGTCCGGACCTACTCTACGAATGTGAAAAAGTCTCCCGTATTATATACGACATATGCACATAGATAATAAGATAACCTAGAATTTGGTCCGGCCCTCCCTAACTCTATGAATGTGGAAACTATCTAGAAGTCTCCCGTATTATATATGACGTATTATATATATGCACATAGATAATAGGGTAACCTAAATAGTTACGAATATTAATCCAAATAGATCCTTCAAAGATCCTAATAAACATGAGTTTTGGGTTTTGGGCCTTTTGAATAGGAATCCTACTTCAAATAGTTTCTTTGTAAAAGGATGCAATTGGCTTCTTTTTTAAAAATAGAAATCAATCAAAGCTTATCATAATATCAAATATTAAAACAAATATGTTTCCCTGTTTTCTTATTAGCATGAGTTTTGGGTTTTGGGCTTTTTTATATTGGCTTCCGCTTTTTTTCCTCCCATCCGATTTTCTTGTTAGCGTGAAAAGTTTCTTTTGTATTTAGGCAAAATTTCTCTCCATCTATTTTTTTTTTTTGTCCGCTTTAGGGTATGCAATTGGCTTCCTTTTTTAACGGTCCTCTTTTTCCACATCAGATTGCATCTGTCCTTAACTTCCGATTGATTTTTGCTATCCTTTTTTTCTTATCATATAAATATTAAAAACAAATATTTTTCCCTGTTTTCTTATTAGCATGAAAAGATTCTTTGTATTTATCTTTTTTGTCCGCTTTACCATATCCGATTGGCTTCCGCTTTTTTCACGGTCCTCCGATTGATTTTTTCTTATCCACATCCTGATGAAAACATCTTTACCATATCCGATTGGCTTCCGCTTTTTTCACGGTCCTCTTTCTCCACATCCGATTACATCTGTCCTTAACTTCAGATTTATTTTTTCCGTCCTTTTTTCCTTTTTATCATATAAATATTAAAAAATAAATAATAGATATAATAATAATAGTATGAGCAGTTGAAATTCATCTCTTCCTTAAAAAATAGAGATTTACACCACTAATGTTATTGATGCAATTTTGATTACATATAAACAAAACTTATCTTGTTAGTCTGATTTAGCCAATTGATCCAACTATTCAAATCTTGAACGTGAACTACGATCTAGAACAGCTTGTTGTCCATATCAGTTTAAATAAATGTATCTAATATGCATGTATCAAAGTAATATTAAAGTGATGATATAAAATTAGCTTATATTATGAATGTCATAGTTATCATAAAATTAATAAATTATAGCTTTAAAATTTTATAGAAAGAGTGAAACCTAAATATATATGTATCATTTTGGTTCTCGATTTTCATGATTATTTGATAGTTTTTTTTCTCTCGTTCGAACGCACGGCCATATTTACTGGTCATTAAAAAAAAGGTTTAAAAAGTCGGCCGCCGGTGCCACCGTGCCAGGTGCCACATCTGATCCTCCCCAAGATTGTGATCAGGCTCCGCTAGTCCGCTTCTCTAGTCTCAGCCTGATCGTAAACAGCATGGCGCAGGCCACATGGGCACTTCCCATTTTTTTAAGCCAAATTCTTATTTGGCGCGCATGTGTGACTACCCCACGCCACACACGCATGAGGACACCGGTGAAATCCGAAGGAGGAGAGGGGACGGGCGGTGGGCGGGACGGTCGGCGCTCCAAAGATTGTGATTTTGTGAACAGCCTGCATCTCATTCACCTCTGAATGCCACCGGGCACTTCCCATTGCATGTGTGGCTACCCCACGCGACACACGCATGAGGACACCGGTGAAATCCGAAGGAGGAAAGGGGACGGGCGGTGGGCGGGACGGTCGCCGCCGGCCAGGGCGGTGGGGGAGGCGGCGGCGGCGGTGGTTAGGGTTTCGGATTTTCATGGGGGTCCTCCTGCCTCCCTAGTCGGCGCAGTCGTTGGTGTGTGCCTGGCCTGCTTCGTGCGGAGGTGAGCCTGCCTCAGGGCTGGGGCTCCGAGAAAGAGTCCCCGTTCGCTGGTCTGAACTTTGGCTGAAACTAGCAGAAAAACACTGTTCCGGCTGAATTGTTGTGAGAGAAAAACATTGTTCTAGCTAAAAAAACAAGCCGAACAAACTAAATTTAAGACTAAGCGAACGGGCAGAGTGGGTTCACCACCGTTCACGGCTGGAGGGAGCTGTGGCTGCGGCCTGCTATTTCATCAAGGTCCGGCGCGGCGCGGTGGCACGTGCCGCATGGTGGTCGGCGTGCGGCAGCATCTACTGAATACTGATTGCCTGCTAGACGAAAGAAGTGCTCGTTGCCTTGTGAGCCAGACGGAGGGGGATAGTGATTCACAGCGTCAGTTGCACGCAATGCTATTTGAAGGTAACTAACAGTAACAGATGACGGGGACCTTTTGTGGTATTTTTTGATGGTAACAGATGGCGGCAGTGTATTTCGCTTGCCAAGCTGGTGCTCCAATGCAAACGTAGGCGGCCGACGCTCCAGCAAGCCTCGACCATATCTTGGAGTCGATGCTGCAATTGTTCAAAAAAAAAAGGCACAATATCCATTGCAAACTTGAAATGCCATCTTGTGTTTTTTTACAAAGGGTAGAAGCATGATGTATGTCGAGTGCGTTGTTAGCATACTATCAAAGTTCAGATTCCACGCAATTGTTTTTTTTTTGAACGCAATGGCAGTCCGCCTTTCAATTAAGACGTGGCAAAGAAAGTTTATGTACAAGACAAGGGCACTCGAGGTTAGAGATTCAAACCCCCAGAAGCATGCCAAATAGGGAAACGCACTGCCCAAAATGGTTGGGGGGCAAACACTACACATAATCGAGTGCTCTCTTCCTTTGCTCTATATCTTCTTTTATCCTTGTGGCCACATGCGGTACCGTCTCTATCTTGTTGTCGAAGATTCTCCTATTTCTCTCTTTCTAGATGTTCCAGAAGGTGTAGATCACCACCCGTTAAGCCGCCTACGCTCGGATCTTGGTACTTTCGTTGCCACCTCTTCCCACCATGATTTCATATCGGTGGGGTTCACAACATAGGCATAGGTGGAGGTTGGTCTCTAAAGCACCATTGCATAGCACGCATTGCTGATGGTGTGGCCACCCTCTCCTCTGTAGGTTTTGCGCCATTAGAATTTTATCTTGCACTAAGATCCAGGCAAAGATCTTGCATCTGTTTTCCACTTGCGCTTTCCAGATGCACTCTGTACGAAAGGGGATGATCGAGCCTCTGAACTGTATTCTGTAGGCCGAATGGGTGGAGTAGTTCCCATCACTGGTCCACCGCCAGATGATGGTGTCCTGGACGCCCTGCTGTAGGTG